GGTTGGAGTTATTTCCTGGTGACTGTTAACAGAAAATGAATAAGGAAGTGTGGGGGCACCCAGCCTTTTTTTAGGTTGGTGGTCCTGCTGAGGTGCAGGAGGGGAAAGTGGGTCTAAATCAATCCAGGAGTCAGACAGATTTCCCGTTCATAGTGAGCTGTGTGGCCACGGCTCCCAGCCAGCACCTTGTCTCACTTTCTTCCTAACCCGGCCTCATCCTGTGCTACAGTGTGTCTCTTGCAAAGGCCCACACATGCAAGCTCTGCTCATAACCCCAAAATAGTTGCTAACTGACCACACCTCATGTCTAATGGTCTGTCTTCTGCAAGATAAATCCCAGAAATAGCATGGGCTGTGGGAAGCCAGTTCAGAGCCTTTGGGTAGGGAATTCCAGATCCCAGTTACCTGGAGTGTGGCCTAGAAGGGTGGGCTCTGAGGATCCAGGTGGGCACGACCCATTAGCTCCTCATCTCAGGGGAGGCTATGGCTTCAGGAGCCACGTAATCTTTAGTTGGGTTGGAGTTATTTCCTGGTGACTGTTAACAGAAAATGAATAAGGAAGTGTGGGGGCACCCAGCCTTTCGTTAGGTCGGTGGTCCTGCTGAGGTGCAGGAGGGGAAAGTGGGTCTAAATCAATCCAGGAGTCAGACAGATTTCCCGGGCCATTCCAGCAGACCATTCTTCCTAAACTGTGAGAAGTAATTTGCTATGAAAAAAAGGAAATGCCTGTGACTTCAAGTAATTGCTGTAAAAAGTAAAAGCAAAAAAAGTCTGTGTCCAGTCCTACTTCCTGAAGGGTTTCCCCTATATTTTCTCTTAGTAGTTTTACACTTTCAAGTCTTAGACTTAAGTCTTTAATCCATTTTGAGTTGATTTTAGTGTATGGTGAGAGGCACAAGTCTAGTTTCATTCTTCTGCATATGGATGTCCACTTTTCCCAACACTATTTATTGAAGAGGCAGTCTTTTCCTCAGTGTATGTTCTTGCTGCCTTTGTCAAAGATCAGTTGGGTGTAAGTATGTGGGTTGGTTTCTGGGTTCTCTATTCTGATGCACTGGTCCAAGTGTCTATTTTTATGCCAGTAGTAATTCCTCTTTAAAGGTTTGGTAGAATTCAGCAGTAAAGACATCTGGTTCTAGGCTATTCTTTGTAGGGAGATTGCTGATTACTGCTTGAATCTCATTGCTTGTTATTGATCTGTTTAGGTTTTCTATTTCTTCTTGGTTCAATCTTGGTAGTTTGTATGTGTCCAGAAATTTATCCATTTCCTCCAGGTTTTCAAATTTGTGGCATATAGTGTAATAGTCTCTAATGATTTTTTGTGTTTCTGTGGTATAAGTTGTAATCTCTCCTTTTTCATTTCTGATTTTTGTAATTAGTGTGTGTGTGTGTGTGTGTGTGTGTGTGTGTGTGTGTGTGTGTTAACCTAGCTAATGGTTTGTCTATTTTGTTTACCTTCTCAAAAAATCAACTTTTTGTTTCATTGACATTTGTATAGTTTCTTGGGTCTCTATATTGTTTAGTTCTGCTCTGATCTTAATTATTTCTTTCCATCTACTAACTTTGGGATTCGATTTTTCTTGTTTTTCTAGTGGTTTTAGGTGTAGGGTTAGGTTATTTACTTTAAATCTATTTTTTCTGTAGGCATTTATTGCTAAAAATTTCCCTCTTAGTGCTGATTTTGCAGTATCCCACAGGTTTTGATATGATGTGTCTTTATTTTTGTTGTTTTCTAGAAATTTTTTGATTTCCTGTCTAATTTCTTGTTGGACTCATTGGTCATTCGGGAGCCTGTTGTTTAATTTCCATGTATTTGTATATTGTCCTGAGTTTTGCTTGTCATTAATTTCTAGTTTTAATCCACCGTGTGAAAAGACACATGAGATGATTTCAAATTTTTTTAAGTTATTGAGACTTGATTTATGATCTAACATGTGGTCTATCCTGGAGAATGTTGTGTGTGCTGATGAGAAGAATGTATATTCTGTACTTGTTGGACAAAATGTTCTGTAGATATTGGCCAGGTCCAATTGGTCTAAAGCCTGGTTTAAATCCTGTGTTTCTTTGTTGATTTGTTGCCTGTATGATCTGTCCAACAAAGAGAGAGGGTTGTTCAGGTCCCCCACTATTATCATATTGGGGTCTATCTATTTCCTTTGGTCTAAAAGTGTTTGCTTTATATATCTGGGTACTCCAGTGTTGGGTGCATATATGTTTATGATTATTTCTTCTTGCTGGACAGATCCCTTTATTATTTTATAGTGGCCTTCTGGCCTTGTCTCTCTTTATGGTTTTTGGTTTAAAGTCTCTTTTATGCCATATAAGAATAACTACTCCTGCTTATTTTTGGTTTCCATTTGTGTGGTATTAGTCCCTTCACTATTAGTCTGTGTATATCTTTACCTTTGAGATGAGTCTCTTGTAAACAGCATATAGTTTGGTCTAGCTTTTGATCCAATCCATTTACATTAAGGGTTGTTATTGAGAGATATTGTCTTATTCCTAGGATTTTATGGCATTTTGTTTAGATATTTTAATTATCTTTAGTTCCTTTCTTCTCCTTTGATTATTGGTCTTCATGTTTGCTGGGTTTTTTTTGAGGTAGTGAGATTTAGTTTCTTTTATCTTTCTCATTTGCATTTGTGTTTTACTAGTGGGTTTTGTTCTTACTTGTGTATTTGTGGTAGTGATTATTGGTTTTTGGATTCCAGGTGCAGGACTCCTTTGAGAATTTCTTGTAGGCCTGGTCATGTGGTGATGAACTCCCAGTTTTTGTTTGTCTGGGAAATATACTATTTCTCTCTTATTTGTGAAGGATAGCCTTGCTGGGTATAATATTCTTGGCTGACAGTTTTTTTCTTTCAGTATTTTTAATGTCATCCCATTTTCTTCTTGTCTGTAGAGTTTCAGTTATGAAACTGATGAGGGCTCCCTTATAAGTGACTTGATGCTTTTCTCTTGTTGTTTTTAAGATTCTCTTTTTGTCTTTGAGCTTTGCCAGTTTGACTACAATGTGTCTCAGAGAGGATCTTTTTGGATTGAATGTGTTTGGTGATCTTTGAGCTTCCTGGATCTGAAGTTCTATGTCTCTCCCTATACTTGGGAAGTTTTCCATTATTATTTCATTGAATAGATTTTTCAATGCCTTTAACTTTCTCCTCCCCTTCTGGAATACCCATGATTCAGATGTTTGTGCACTTAAGGTCATCTGCTAGCTCTCTTATGCAATCTTAATTTTTTTAATTCTTTTTTTTTTCTTTTTTCTTTCTTTTTTTTTTTTTTGTCAACCTGGGTTATTTCATAAAGGCCACCTTTGTGTTAGGAAATGCTTTCTTCTGCTTGTTCTAATCTGCTGGTTAAGTTCTCAGCTGTGTTTTTTAATTCAACAAATGTGTCTTTCAATTCCAGGAGTTCTGCTACATTCTTTTTTTTTTTTTTTTTTTGCAGTTATTTAACTTTATTATATTTTAAAATCAGAAAACAGAAAAACAGTATTTATACAAACACCTGAGGACTGTTCATTTGGGTACAGCATCTTCATACAAACAATGTGAAACAAGACTAAGTTTAAGTAAGAATCTCAACTTCTAACATATGAGGAATAACACAGATGAAGGCATTCTTTCAATAGTTGCATTCATGTCTAAAGTACATTTGGCTTTCTAAAAAGAAAATGAACATTCTTGTCCCAGGTGAACATTTTATTGGCATTTACAACAAACGGCTAACACTTTTATAACTGATTCTTATGACTTATAAATACTACACCAAAGTTACACAAAGTAATAACAAAGAACATATAGCAACATTTCCCCTTGAAAGGTCTAAGTTATAAAATAAAGCCCCAAACAGTAAGTCAGAACTAATATATCTTTCCAAATGGAGCAGAATAAATGGCTCAGAACCAAGCAAATTAATTAGAACATTGCATAGGACAGGGAATTCCCCGTATGGAAACCAATCTACAGATCATTTCTAATCCCATGAAGAGTAAGCTGAGAGGTACTGGGGAGAGCAAACGCAATATATTTCATGGAATAGAAACATCTAACCATATACACAGTTCACCATTTCTTCTGTGCAGTGCAAAGTGCCGTATTAAATTCAAAGAGAAAAAGGTTTACTTGTGTGTATACTTCAGGTATAGAATAAATATAAACATTAAACAGTACCCGTATGAGGAATAAACAAATACAATAAAATATATATCTTTACAAAATTTGGACATAGCAATTATCATAGAGAGATGTGAACGATACATGCCTAGTTAAATGTCCAAATTTAGACAAAATATGTAAGTTTTAAAATAATAGGTATTTCTTTGTAAAAAATACAATCAGCCTCCATCCAAACCGCCCTTAAATCATGGTATCTGTCACATAAAACTATTCTATCTATCCTATAATTTATCCAAAAAGTGGTAAGAACACTTCATAGAAGTTTATAAGCTTGTTTTTGTTCCCTCTAAATTTGAATACAACAGAGAAATAATAAACAAAAGGAAATTAATTTATATGGCTATTTCCTTTCTGGAAGCTGGTAAAACATGAACAGGACACTGTAGCATCAGACACATAAAATACATGAGAAAGAGATGTTATCTACACGTGCACCTTTAAATTCTCTTCTCTTCTGAGGAAAAATTCTCATAGATTTAATCACAGAAGTTGTCAATCCCTGATATTTCCTCTTTTAGCTGTTTTGGTTCCAAATATAAAGATGAACCAAAGTCAGAGACTTTTCACTATTTCCTGCATGAAGTATATTTGGAGATTATGCACCGAAAACAATAAACAGACATAAAGGATGAACTTCCAACTTAACTATGCAAATACTAACATGTTAAGTGGATTTTTAAAAACTAGACTGAACTGTAATGTAGTTCTGCAATTGTGGCATAATATATTTTTAGATGATATTTTCACAAAACAAAAACTAATAAGGGCAAAAAAATGATTTCACACCAAGAAGGCACTGGTCCCCCCAGAAATAAGCCCAATCTAAACTGACACATTTTCTTCAATTATTGTAGAATTTTTCCTCTTTAAACTTTCAATGTAGTGGCATAGCTTCACGGCTGTCCCCAGCTTCAGCCCCATATAATTGATCATCATGTCAGCGGTGAGTAGTAGCAGGGCCTTCCCATCAATTTCATCATGCCTGAAGAGGTTGGAGAGGGGCCCTAAAGTCTGAGGGTCTGTATGTTGCAGAAACAGGATCACTTCATCCACGGACCAGGCTGAAGGGTCCTCAGAGACATAGAGGTCAGGCTCCACTGGTGAACTTGTAGCAAAACCAGAAGGGACGCAGATAGAGGATACAGTATGTTTATTCCTCAGAAAGACTGAGTGACTCTTCATTTCACGGGTGTATATTGAACTGGAATCTCCCTGGGTCAGCAGGCCTGCCGGTGCTGCCCCGAAAGCTGGGGCATTTGGAAGGATGCTGCTGTTCTTAACTGCCCTTGGGCTGGTATAGGAGGGCAGTAAAGAAGTGCCCGGCAGAGGGTTATCAGGCACGACAGGAGGCTGATATGGATTTGCAGACAAGCGTCGAGGACTCAGGCTGAAGAACATCTCCCGCTCCTTCTGCTCCTGCTCCATGAGCAGTGACTCCTGATCCGTTTCCTGGGAGTCGTCCGACTGATTAAACACCCCTTCGGGGATGCTCTGGTAGTCAATCTCCCGCCTCCTCACGGGTGAAGTTGGGCTATAACTTTCGTGGTAGGAGAATGAACTGGGAGACCCCTTCTTCCTCATTTTCTGGAATTTACTTCTCCTAAACAGCCAGTACTTAGAATTTCTGGAAGCATATCCAGATAGCTTACGACGTCGCCTCAGTGCTTTCGCATGGAGACGTTGGATTTTTGAAACCTTTCCATGAACGACATTGAGTTTCTTGTCCAGGCTTCCAATAGCTTCACATACCCCCTTGAGCGTATCCAGCACGCCCCGATCCTGAGACGTCTGCTGCAGCCTTTTGCGCAGTTCATCCCGACTCAACACATCAA